CCCCCCCGTGCGCTCCCGTGGCCCCCTGTCCCTCTCCCCTCCTTGCGCCCCCGAGCCCCTCTCCTGGAACCCCTCTACCCTCTTCTCTGCTGTCGTCTCTTCCCAGTCTCCCCCTCCCTTCTTCCTTTCCCCTCTCCCCTCCAGGCTGCCCTTCCTCCTCTTTCCCGGTGCTCCTCCCACCCCAGCAGCCCCGAGGCTTCCTGAGGGCATGCTGCGTTCCTGCGCTTCAGCCTGGCTCGGGTTCCAGCCCCGCTTCCCACCTCTCACTTTCCAAATAGGGCGCCTGACCCAGGAGACTGCGCACGGTCAGAGGACCCCTGCCCCTCTCTGTGACTCAGGGCCCCGGATTGCTCAGCAGAGCTGCCGCAGCTCTGGTCCCCCCTCCCCACCTGCCTCCCGCCCTCCACCCCCGCCCCGGGATACTCGGTACCTCCGCCCTGTTCCTGGGGAGAAGTGACTTTCTCTCTCCGTCTGTCCGTGGAGGCGGAGGGCAGGACGGGGCAGGAGCAGGTCCCTGATCTCCCGCCTCTGTGCCAATCCAACCCGAACGCGTTGTCCTCCCCAACCTTTCACCTCCGAAGCAACCAGAGCCCCCACTCAGCTCTTCCGCCCTCCTCTCCCGAGCAGACCCTCCACCCCAGCCCTCTTCCTTCCCTGCCTCAGCCAGCTGTCTTCTTTCTTCCTCGCGTTCCCCTCTTGCTCCGTCTTTCCTGGCCCACTTCGTTATCACAGAAGGAGGTTATGCCAGGGTCGAAGGGCTGGGGGCTGGGGGTGGAGAGGGCAGCAGGTGAAGGGGGCCTCTCTTCTTCCATTCGCCTCCACACGCGGGCTGCCTAGGTGAGGAGAGTGGCTCGCGTCCAGAGTGCAAAATGCTCTCTCAAAGGGCCCCCCACAAAGGGAAGGGCCAAGTTTCCAAACCTTGTTTGCGAGCAATGAAAACATGAAGGTTTGGGCTTCGGCCATGTGGGGATGGATGGATGCATGAATCACCGCATATAGCCCTAGTAAATATTCGTTTTCTAGCACAATATTCTGAGCGCCTGGCCCAGGGGAGGAGAGAGGAGGGGGCCAGACATAAAAGTCAGTAACATCCTGTGCTGCCTGATGAGCATGGCCCCCACAGCAGGCCGCAAGGGGTGATGCCCCGTTTGCCTCTGTGTTCATTTCCCCCCTATTTAAGGAAAGGTCTCTGCTTAAAAGTGAATCTCTCTCTCTCTCTCTCTCTCTCTCTCTCTCTCTCTCTCTCTCTCTCTCTCTCTCTCTCTCTCTCTCTCTCTCTCTCTCTCTCTCTGTCTTTCTCTTTCTCTCTGTCCATCTTTCTCACAGCGAGTCTTCATCTACCCCTGGCACCGTGGCCACCCCAGAGGAGTACCCAGCCCTGGCCACAGACAGCCCAACCACTCTCACAGAGGCCCTGAAAATGATCCATCCCATTCCTTCCGATTCCTGGAAGATTTTCATCGAACAAATAGGTAATGGGGTGTGGAGGTCCTCTGAGGCTTTGCTGCTGGGCAGGCATTTGTGATTCTGAGAGAGGCCGGCAGGACTTGAGAATTTGGGGAAGATACTCTTGGCCTGGGGCTGGCCAGGGGGCTGATTCCTGGTGTGCTGCCACCTTGCTGCTTTGCTTGAGTGAGGCAGAGGACGGTGCAGGGAAAAGTCTGCTGGATTTCAGGACAAACTTAGTGCTGAAGGGGCTGCCCCAGGATGCGGTGATCTCTTCAGTAGAGGCCCTCAAAGAGAAGTGGGGTGGCCATTTACTGAGGATGTCATAGTGCGAATGTCTGTCTCCATATAATGGTTTCTCAAGTACTCCCTACCTCCTAAATTCTGCAATTCTGGGATAGTCCCACACTGTTTGGTACACAAGTCTCCGGCATGAATGCATCTGTGTGCTTTCAGCCTGAAGTATATAATTCCTCCCTGGCATGCTGTGTCTGCCAGTCTGGCTCAAAGTTCCTTCCTACCTAGCAACTGTAACTAAGTGTGCAAAGACTTTCCTGGCCACCCAGCTCTGAGCCCATTTTGGTGCTGGACAGGCCAGCTCCTGGAGGTGCCAGGAGGTTGGGGTGTGGGACCAGGAAGGGCCCGATGTGGCTGGGCAGGACCAGGGTCACTACCAAGCAAGGGCTGGGAGAAGCCTGCCATTCGGGAGGGGCGACAGGGAGGGGAAGGGAGCTGAAGCTGGAAGAAAGGCAAGTTGGAGCTGGAGGAGAGGAGGGGCAAGAGAAGCCTGGCTGCTGGCTTGAGAGGCCCTGCAGTGGGGGTGGGTTTGACTGTGGGAGCAGCACCTGCCTCTGCCGTGGCTGTGACATGGAGAAAGTAGCGGGCACAGTGGAAAGAGGCTTGACGGTCTTGCCTTGGATTTGGGGCAGTCACTTCACCTCCCTGGGCCTCAGTTTACTCATTTGTAAAAGGAAAGGGCTGGTCTAGGTGGTCTCTGAAATCCCTCCTGGCTCTAGGTCTGTGAGCCTGGAAAAGTCAGAAGGTCTGATGAGTGCAGAAAACAAGATGGACAAGGTCGGGTGGGGACTGCCAAAAGCAATGCTTCTCCTCCCTCCTCCCCACTTGCACGTTTTATAATATTCCTGGTACAACTGCTAAAAGTCCCCATCCTCATGACTTGCCATAAATGTCAATCAGTCATCTAGCCTTCAATAAGTACCTTCTGTGTGCCAGGCACCAAGCACAGTTCCTGCTCTAGAAGAGCTCACCTTCCAAAGGACCGTTATGATTTATTAACTATTCAGGTGAATGAATGACCCATTGGGTCTGCCCTCCACCCCCAGGACCGAGGCTGCCTCTTCAATGAATTTGTTAAAATACCCAGGACAACCTCAGTAGGCCTTGGATGGTCCCATGAGTGGGTCAGAGCAGCAAGGGAGCCCATCCCAGGGGAAGAGCATTGGTTATAAAGTTCCAAGACCTGGGTTCAAATCCCAGCTCTCATGTTTACTCCTTATATGGCCTTATGCAAGTCATTCAATTCTTCTCTGCCTCAGTTTGATCATCTGTAAGATGGGGGGGTTGGATGAAATGACCCCCTGGAAATCTTTCTTAGACGTAGATCATTGAAAGATAACAGCAACAAAAATTGGAACGCTAAGGGGAAAATATCTTTGTATCATAGATATTTCCAAAGTTCTCCTTTTATTTAAATGAAGTCAGAAAATGGCTGTATTCTCAAGTCCCTAATGCCCCAAACAGCCACATTATGTCTTCAGTAATCAAAAGCAGCAGGCTGGTGTTAACCATTTTTAAGAAGGAGAGCTTTGAGTGAGGCAGGGTAGGCCTCCAAGCAACGTTTCCCTTCAGGCTTGCATAAGCACTCCCAGATGTTGTCTGCACTGGAATCTGTCGGTGCTCACCCATTTCGCAGATGAAAATGCTAATTAACTGACCCTTCCTTGCTAGAGCTGCCAGTTACAATCCCATTGTACCTCCCTGCGGCTAGAATCGTTGGTCTTCTCCTGAGCCTTGTGAGGATCCAGCACCCTTGGCCTGGGTGAGAAAGGGCCAGAGAGCATGATGGGAAGCAGCAATGATTCCCAGTCTTCTACTCCTACTCCTGGATGAGGAGGTGGCTAGGGAGGGGAGGCTGGGGCCTAAAGGAGGTGAGGAGGTATCAGGAGGTCCCAAACTCAGAGTTATTTTCCCCATAGCTGGTTTTAGCTGAAACAGGATTGGGAGTCCAGGATTTGAATCCTGGCTTTGCTACTGAAGCTGGATGACTTAGAAGAAGTCATTTCCCTCTTCTCTGTGCCTCCGTTTCCATTTCTGTACAATGAGTGATTTGGACTAGAAAATCTTCAAGGTAATAATAATAACTAGTATTTGCATAATGGGCAGCCAGGTGCACAGTGGATAGAGCCAGGAAGACCTGAGTTCAAATCCAGCCTCAGACACTTACTAGCTGAACGACCCTGGGCAAGTCACTTAATCTTGTTTGCCTCAGTTTCTCATCTGTAAAATGAGCTGGAGAAGGAAATGGCAAACCACTCCAGTATCTTCGCCAAGAAAACCCCAAACGGGACCATGAAGAGTCAGGCACAACTGAAGAAAACAACGGAACACGAACAACAACAAATTCATATGACACTGTAAGGGTTGCAGAACATTTTATATGTTAACTCATTTGATCATCACAACAGCCATGGGAGGTGGCTCCTAAAATAATCCCCTTTTATAGGTGGGCAAACTGAGGCACGAGAGATTAGGTGATTTGTCTAGGCTCATGCACGGTAGGATTTGAACTCACAACCCTTGTGGTGAGGATCAAATGACTAAAAATTGTAAAATAATTGTAGAGCGCTTAGCATGGTGCCTGGCACCGAGTAGACGCCACAGAAATGTTAGCTGTGATGATGATAATGATGATGCTTTCTCCCTTCCTAGCTGTGTGACTTTGGGGAAGTAACTTTGCCTCTCTGGGCCTCAGTTTCTTTCTCTGTAAAATGAGAAGGGCTGGACAAGATGGCCTTTGAAGTCCCTTCCAGACTTAGCTCAGTGAATGACCTTAAGGGCTAGGTAGCACGGTAGATGGAACGCTGGCCTCAGGAGGCTCTGGGTTCAAGTCTGGCTCTGCTACCTACTGGCTGTGGGACCCTAACAAGTCTTTCAACCTCAAGTGTCCCAGACAATTCTTTCAGACCATAAATTGCAAAGCAGGTGCCTTGGTACCTTCATTGGCAGAGAGAGTTTCCTCATTGGAAGTTTATTTCTTATGTGGATGAAATGCCAGGTATGGATCGCTTTTAGTTGCCTCCACCATCCTTCATAAAGGTCCTGCTGCACTGACCAAGGCCCAGAGCTTTGCCCCAAGGTGAGGCGGGGTGGGGGTGCCCCAGAGCTTCTCCCCAAGGTGAAGCAGGGTGGGGGTGCCCCAGAGCTTCTCCCCAAGGTGA